GATATGCCCCAAATACATTCCTGCTATTGTTGTTGCTGTTTCTGCATAGCTACGTGTAGTCTTGTATCTACATATGGATGCTGCAATGGTATAATGTCTAGCACACTGGACTTGTCATCTAGAGGTCACCGGTTCAATCTCCCAGAATGGCAGCTGAAGCAATAGGAAAGTTTCTAAAATCCCCCGGTCTGTCCACCAAGCAGAATACATGGGCAGATCGCGTGCGGTGGTGTACTAAATAGTCGCTACTCCCCTCTTTTCCAAGACGTCTAGTGAGGAAGAGAAGGCCAACATACCCTACAGGAGGGGCTCTATAGAAACTTCCTCCAGTGGAGGCCGTTCCACCAGCAGTGGCACGAGCAAGCAATTGCAGGGCTGCACCTTAACCACGATGAACCATTATACGCGACATGCATACCCGCTTTTGTTGTTACTGCTGCACCATAGCTGCATCTATTCCCGTGTATATACAGTGAGGGAAAAAAGTATTTGATCCCCTGCTGATTTTGTACGTTTGCCCACTGACAAAGAAATGATCAGTCTATAATTTTAATGGTAAGTTTATTTGAACAGTGAGAGACAGAATAACAACAAAAAAATCCAGAAAAACGCATGTCAAAAATGTTATAAATTGATTTGCATTTTAATGAGGGAAATAAGTATTTGACCCCCTCTCAATCAGAAAGTTTATGGCTCCCAGGTGTCTTTTATACAGGTAACGAGCTGAGATTAGGAGCACACTCTTAAAGGGAGTGCTCCTAATCTCAGCTTGTTACCTGTATAAAAGACACCTGTCCACAGAAGCAATCAATCAATCAGATTCCAAACTCTCCACCATGGCCAAGACCAAAGAGCTCTCCAAGGATGTCAGGGACAAGATTGTAGACCTACATAAGGCTGGAATGGGCTACAAGACCATTGCCAAGCAGCTTGGTGAGAAGGTGACAACAGTTGGTGCGATTATTCAAAATAACTGTCAATCTCCCTCGGCCTGGGGCTCCATGCAAGATCTCACCTCGTGGAGTTGCAATGATCATGAGAACGATTAGGAATCAGCCCAGATCTACACGGGAGGATCTTGTTAATGATCTCAAGGCAGCTGGGCCCATAGTCACCAAGAAAACAATTGAAACACACTACGCCGTGAAGGACTGAAATCCTGCAGCGCCCACAAGGTCCCCCTGCTCAAGAAAGCACATATACATGCCCGTCTGAAGCTTGCCAATGAACATCTGAATGATTCAGAGGACAACTGGGTGAAAGTGTTGTGGTCAGATGAGACCAAAATGGAGCTCTTTGGCATCAACTCAACTCGCCGTGTTTAGAGGAGGAGGAATGCTGCCTATGACCCCAAGAACACCATCCCCACCGTCAAACATGGAGGTGGAAACATTATGCTTTGGGGGTGTTTTTCTGCTAAGGGGACAGGACAACTTCACCGCATCAAAGGGACGATGGACGGGGTAATGTACCGTCAAATCTTGGGTGAGAACCTCCTTCCCTCAGCCAGGGCACTGAAAATGGGTCGTGGATGGGTATTCCAGCATGACAATGACCCAAAACACACGGCCAAGGCAACAAAGGAGTGGCTCAAGAAGAAGCACATTAAGGTCCTGGAGTGGCCTAGCCAGTCTCCAGACCTTAATCCCATAGAAAATCTGTGGAGGGAGCTGAAGGTTCGAGTTGCCAAACGTCAGCCTCGAAACCTTAATGACTTGGAGAAGATCTGCAAAGAAGAGTGGGACAAAATCCCTCCTGAGATGTGTGCAAACCTGGTGGCCAACTACAGGAAACGTCTGACCTCTGTGATTGCCAACAAGGGTTTTGCCACCAAGTACTAAGTCATGTTTTGCCAAGGGGTCAAATACTTACTTCCCTCATTAAAATGCAAATCAATTTATAACATTTTTGACATGCTTTTTCTGGATTTTTTTGTTGTTATTCTGTCTCTCACTGTTCAAATAAACCTACCATTAAAATTATAGACTGATCATTTCTTCGTCAGTGCGCAAACGTACAAAATCAACAGGGGATCAAATACTTTTTTCCCTCACTGTACATTGTACATAAGTCAATAAATAATAAAACATGTAATATCACGAGCGTCGTTTAGCTGTTGGATGTTATTGGTATGGTTATTACAGCATCATACAATGTTACAGAGCGATGTGAGAATGCAAAGAGTGTTAAGTCATTCGCAAGGATATTCTCAGAAAATCATTCACACACTGGCACCAACAACGTCATTCTGTTACGTCCTAATTAAAAAAGGGTCTTAATTGATTAAACACTGTGTGACAAAAACATATCTTTTTTTTGTTCCTGGGTAGTAAGTGTTATTTTCGAATTGCCTATGCCTCAAAAGTACAGAAAGTGGCTATTATTCCCCACAAACTTTGCTTTTGTGACCAGGACACAAAAACAAAGTTAATAATTCACTCCATTAATAACACTTTGGAACACATATATTTATTTTTTGTTACTGGGTAGTAAGTATTATTTTCGAATTGATTGTGCCTCAAAAGTACAGAAAATTGCTTTTGTGACCAGGACAGTGATATTTTGAAATTGACTCATTTTCAATGAGAAAACGTGGTGTGCATTTGTGTCATTCCATCACATAAAGTCCTGGTCACAAAATCAAAGTTTGTGGGGAACAATAGCCACTTTATATACTTTTGAGGCATAAGCAATTAGAAAATAACACTTACTACCCAGGGACAAAAATCGTGTTACAAAGTGAATTATGGTTGTGGTCTACTTGGCCCAGTTACAAGAATAGATTATCTCCTCGCAACTGTTTCATCCTCTGTGTTTGGTTTTTTTATCCGTTCCAAAACAAGAAGGTCGTGACCCTTGGTACGTGTAAACCATGCTGCATAATGCACAAGACTGAGAAATGAACAGAACGTGTGTGTTTGTTTAAACATTTCGGTGTAAGCAACACTGTTTTGTATACAATGTAAAAGGTAAGAACCCAATTTACATTTGCCACTTTTATAGCGCTTTTCCTACATATACATGATGAAAGTTGCTCATGAGGATTTGGAGAGGGATGGCACAGCTGGCTTAGAGCACTGCGCTATGATTTCGGCCACCCGAGTTAGATTCCCGGCCACGACTCGACATCAATGACGAGTTATGGACGAGTCATTCAGTCCCTGTTTGGCACTCCCCTTCACCTTTACTGACCAGCGTGGTGAAGTATGGTCAAACTACCACCACCGACATCCGGCCATGAATTGACAATGGGCTGCACAAACATTGAACCATTTTTTCCCGATTCGGCCAAGCAGTTGTTGAATGCCACAATTCGCGTCAATAACCCTCCACCACCCGGCACAGTTATCACGTTTACTAAGATTTATTTAGGGTGTGCCCATGTACATTGATCAAATTCTGACCACAAATTGTCCGGAGGTGGAGGGGTTAATGACAATCATTTTAGCAGAAAACTACCACGCGGACGAACCCAAAAAGAAAAACAAATACGTATAATTGTATTGGCTTCGAGAAAAATAAAACCTGCGTTTTAAGTTCGCCTTGTCGCGTAACAGTCCATGCAGTCTATAGTTGTACAAGGGCGCCCTCTGCATCGCAGTGGCTGCCACAGATTTCTTCGGGATTCGCACTGGATCCATGGGTTTTAATTATTACTCAGCAATTAAGCGTAAACACCTATCAAATGCCCCAACGATTGAGCGTTGAAATTAAACCACCGATCCTCGCGGCAGTTGAAGTGATAACAATAATACACGCGACTAAGGCCGCTGCCACATTTCAAAATCGCACGCGCGCAAAGCTACCGTCACCACATTGGGGTTGTCCGATGTGTTATCGGGGTTGTACAGCGTGTTGTTTGGCGTGTCCGACGTTTCGCTCCACGTACCGGGAGCTTCTTCTGGACTCCCAGCACATGGAGCCCGTCTGGTTTTGCGTGTGTCTGACCGACCCGCCTGACCAGATCCACAAGTCTCGACAGACAGTCGATACAGATACAAAACACAAACCGGGGGGGGGGGGAGGGGAGAACTGCCAATAAGATGGAGCGAAACGTCGGACACCATACCGACCAGCACGTGGTGCAACCAAAGAACACACTCCCAAGCTAGAGTGGAGGCGACACACTGCAGCACACCCACGAGGAACCGACCCCCTACAGCGAGTGGTTTCGCGTTTGCTCTTCGCAGCGGCACAACCCTTGGCTGCCCAGACACTTTAGCCAAGCGCGCGTGGAGCGGCGGCGGCGACGACGGTGGTGGTGGTGGTGCGAGTCACTTCGCCCCCACCAACACCACCAACACCACCGCCCCTGTCTCTCTCTCTCCGTCTCACACGCGTCACCTTCTGCGTTGTCGCCGGGCACGACGACGCCACCGCCACCGCGGCCACGTCGGCGCCCACGCGTGGCCGTGCGGCGGCGGTGACGCGCGAACAAACGCGCGGGCGTCACCGGCCGGACACTCGCAAGACAACGCCGCTTCAGCCTCGCGCAAAGATAAAGACACCCGCCCCTTATAGCCTTGACAGACTGCTGGGGCAAGTGCGATTAGCGGAGCACCTATGAAGGCCCGCCAAGACCAGCACCGCCTCCTTGACCGCCTTTGTCTCCCCAGTGGCGATGTTTACACACCGGACCGGGTACTCATTTGAGGCTGAGTCGACCTAGGGGAGGCCCAAGACCGGTTCGGATAATCGTCACCGGTGTTGGCCGTGAGCGAGAATCGAACTCGGGTGGTCGGGTCCGTAGCGCAGCGCGAGCCGCTAGCCGCTACCGCTCCCCCACACAAGGGCGGACACGCGGCACATCCCGTGCATGGCAAGCCCCATACCCATCCCCTCTGGTCCACGCCCCTCCTCCACCCCCCACACGCAACCTTCATTCATGCCGCACACCCAACCCCGACACACACCCCCCCAGCACCCAGCACCCACCCCACCCCCCAGCACTCCCTGGCGACTCCTTCACCCACCCAGCTCCCTCCTCCTCCTCCTGCCCCCCTCCCCGTCGCGTCGCCCATCATCGCCGCTCTCCCATTCGCCGGGACGCTCCTCTGTGGGCTATGCAAATGTGCTCGGGCACGCGTCGCTTTATTCCGAAGCCCACCACCACCAGCAGCAGCATCAGCAGCAGCAGCATCATCAGCAGCAGCATCATCATCAGCAGCATCATCATCAGCAGGGTTTTGTGCCGTCGCTTGCCGAGCCGCAACATTATCGTGCTATCGGGTTGCCACGTGTAAAACTCAGCCTCTTCCTTCCCCAGACTCTTTCCATGTTCACGCCTCTGCCCGCAGCCTGTGCGAGGCAGCCTCTTCTCTCGTCACAGCAGACACACTTGGCAGGCAGGCAGGCAGAGGAACACCCCGCAGACAACGAGAGACGCGAACACCGCCAGACCACTGCGTGCAGGACAGGGAAAAGTAACTGTAGACACTGGCACAGAGATATCGATACGTAGCGCAGACAACGAGATAGACGCGTGGGGATACATGAGAGACGGTGGGGGGGGGGGAGCGAGAGAGACAAAATACAGAGAGACAGGTGGCGGTGGCTAGGAGGGACGCCGAGAGAGGGAGACTGCGGGACACGCTGAACAGCGCTACGGGAAGGAGGAGGAAGAGTTTGTTTGTGTTGACTCCAGAGGAGTTTGTTTGTGTTGACTCAAGAGGAGGCGACTTGTCTGGGGGGTACACACGGAACACGCACGGTGGTGGTGGTTGGGGTGTACGCCGACCCTGCAACCCGCACCGAGACGACTCCCGGGCCCACCGACAAACCCAGCAGGCAGCAGCAGGAGCAGCAGCAGGAGCAGCAGCAGCGCTGTGGTGCCGCTGTTGTTGTAGTGGCTGTGTTGTGTCCGCTCGGCCGTCTCCACCACCGCCGCCACACACTCCCTTGCTCTCTGCGCGGTTTGTGACATTTCCTCGCCTCCACTAGAGACGACGACCACCAGCCGCTACTGGCGGCTGTGACAGCAGCAACAACAACAGCAACAACAAGAGCAGCAACAACAGCAGCAGCAACAACAACATCAACAACAACAGCAACAACATCAGCAGCAACAAAAACAACAACAGCAACAAAAACAACAACAGCAACAACAACAGCAGCAGCAGCATCGTGAGTGGGAGGCTGCTTGCGCGCACTTGTGAGTGTTCACAGAGCCGACTTGCCAGCGACGTCGTGGACATGTCGGGGGACATGTTCCTCGCCAAGAAGGCGGCGGCGAGTTTGCAGTTCCACAACGCGGAGAACGACGCGAGGATCAGCCGCGGCAAGAGCACGGACTGGCAAGGTCTCTACTCCACCATCAGGGAGAGGTTCGTGCCCGCGATGACTCTGCGGTGGCGCGGCGCGCGTGTTGCGGAGTGGATGTGCGATGATTTCAACACGAGTGGTATTATTTAATACATTAATATATATATGCGTCTTATGAGAGGTCTAGGCAGCGTGGATGAAGAGGTCAAACAATACCCCGACTCGAAGGGACACCAGTGAGTCCCGTCTCGTTGAGGTCCTTCTGCCAGCAGCAGCGTGAGCAAGCAATTGCAGGGCTGCGCCTTTACCTGGTCCTCTTAATAATCTCCCAGCCGTCTAATCTTGGTCAGTTAAGCCGTAGGCTCCACCCGGGTCTGCCCCGTCACCTCTTGCCAGCGAGCCTTTGATACTTCACGTGACCTGACAGTGCACCTAGCCTGGCACAAGCGCTTTGGTGACATCGCCGTCACTTCGAGGCTGTTGTGGTGACGGCTTTTGTTTACTGCCGGATCGCAGATCAGATGGCGGACTGCAGTAGCTCGCTCGTTGTATGTTGAGTGAACTCGGTGGGTCGTGCACTCCGCTCTGAACCCGGCGACGTGAGTTCGATAGCCGGCCACGGCTACCACCAACGGCGAGAGAATAATGTCCGAACCAGTCCCGTACTCAGCCCCCCACCCAACCCACCTCTTCATCAACACGCATTGGCCAGTGTGGTGCAGTATGGATAAGTAACCTCCACGACCGACACGGCGTGGGAAGGACCTTCAGCCAGCAGTGGATTTACAAAGTGGTGTCGCTCTGATGTAAGTCGCGTAAAAACGGGTTCAAACGAAACTAGGTTACACGATGAGCAAGACAGGGACTATGCCTGTAGCTGCAGTATTGTTTTGTACGTGTCAGTGTGACTTCGTGTGAGTAAGTACAGGCAAAATGTTCCCTTTAAAGTTGTATTTTGTACCGTATCGAGCGGTGTCGCAGCGGTGGCGCAGTGGTGAGCGCAGTGCACTTTGAACTCGGTGTTCTAATCCCTGCCACGGCCGGCAGCGGTGGCGAGCTATATCCGAACCGGTCGTGTGCCTCTCCTAGATCGGCTCAGCCGTGAATGAGAACCTGGTGCGGTGTGTAGAACCTCGGCACTGGGGAGACGAAGGCGGCCGGGCGATGTTGCTACAGGTCTCGCCCCACCGTAGGTGCTCGCTGACAGAATCTGCCCCGACAGCAGTCTCGTGAAGCCTACACGGGGGGATCTTTGTCTGTTTTGTTTGTTATTCAGGCGCGCACACAACTCGAGACAATGCCGTCCGCACTTACCTCATCCCACTGACCCCCCACCCCCCCATACACGGCGCCTGCTCGCTCCCACTGCCCAACTGCGCTGCTGCTGCTGCGTCTTACTTGCTGACCTGACAATTGTATTTCTTCTGCCACGAGATTGCCTACAAATCAACGCGTGGGACATCGACTCCAAACACTTGGGGCACGTTTTTCCAGAGCCTCCCCACTCCTCCTCCTCACCACCCCCCCCCCCCCATCTGTATCCCTTTTTATTTAGACGTGAACGCCACGGTCATGTTCGTGGCTGTTTAACACGTAGGCTTTCGCGACCAATACCATCAATAACATAGTGTCCTTTCTCCACAAATCTGTCTGTCCGCCTGATGATGCTAGTAGCAAATACTGACGAAACGTCGTGCTCAGATTGTAAATGTTGTGGCTTGGCTCTCCAACACACCGGCGTCCTGTACTAGTGACGAATTGGCACGTTCTGTTCACGTGACAACCCTTACTAGTTGGCTGTGTTCACGTGACTACCCTTACTAGTGGGCTGTGTTCACGTGACAACCCTTACTGGTTGGCTGTGTTCACGTGACAACCCTTACTACTTGGCTGTGTTCACGTGACAACCCTTACTAGTGGGCTGTGTTCACGTGACAACCCTTACTACTGGGCTGTGTTCAAGTGACTACCCTTACTGGTGGGCTGTGTTCACGTGACAACCCTTACTAGTGGGCTGTGTTCACGTGACAACCCTTACTAGTGTGCTGTGTTCACGTGACAACCCTTACTAGTTGGCTGTGTTCACGTGACAACCCTTACTAGTGGGCTGTGTTCACGTGACAACCCTTACTAGTTGGCTGTTCACGTGACAACCCTTACTAGTTGGCTGTGTTCACGTGACAACCCTTACTAGTTGGCTGTGTTCACGTGACAACCCTTACTAGTGGGCTGTGTTCACGTGACAACCCTTACTAGTGGGCTGTGTTCAAGTGACTACCCTTACTGGTGGGCTGTGTTCACGTGACAACCCTTACTAGTGGGCTGTGTTCACGTGACTACCCTTACTAGTGGGCTGTGTTCACGTGACAACCCTTACTAGTGGGCTGTGTTCACGTGACAACCCTTACTAGTTGGCTGTGTTCACGTGACAACCCTTACTGGTGGGCTGTGTTCACGTGACAACCCTTTCTAGTGGGCTGTGTTCACGTGACTACCCTTACTAGTGGGCTGTGTTCACGTGACAACCCTTACTAGTGGGCTGTGTTCACGTGACAACCCTTACTAGTTGGCTGTGTTCACGTGACAACCCTTACTAGTGGGCTGTGTTCACGTGACAACCCTTACTAGTGGGCTGTGTTCACGTGACAACCCTTACTAGTGGGCTGTGTTCACGTGACAACCCTTTCTAGTTGGCTGTGTTCACGTGACAACCCTTACTAGTGGGCTGTGTTCACGTGACAACCCTTACTAGTGGGCTGTGTTCACGTGACAACCCTTACTAGTTGGCTGTGTTCACGTGACAACCCTTACTAGTGGGCTGTGTTCACGTGACAACCCTTACTAGTGGGCTGTGTTCACTCGGTGACCCGAGTTCAATTCCCGCTCACGGCCAACACCAGCGACGATTATCCGAACCGGTCCCGGGGCTTCCCCTAGGTCGGCTCAGCCTCAAATGAGTACCTGGTGCAATGTGTAAAAAGATTTCCCCACTGGGGAGACAAAGGCGGCCGGGCGTGGTGCTGACCACCCACCCCCTCGTGTGCCCTGCCGGTCTTCGTAGGCGCTCGCAAACAGCACTTGCCCCAACAGTCTGTCTAGGCTATGCGGGGCATCTTTGGTTGTGCTTGGTGTTGCGAGCGATGCTTCTTCACTCTGCAGTGCAAAACAAAACAAAGTTTAACGCCGCCCTCCGCATATCCATATCGCGCTCTGCTACGACGAAATTGTTTCACTTCAAGTGAGAGGCTTTCACCCCCCCCCCACAGTCGCTTTCGAGAGGGAGGCGTTACCCCATTTGTTGTCGTTCCCAGAACGATTATCAAGTGACGTCATTGGCGGGTCGTGATTGCATGGCAGAGTTCATTACAAAAAGACTCAACATTATTCTTCAAGACCACCCTAGTCAGTAGCATGACCCTGCTTTAAAATGTGTTGTGTGTGTGGGAGATACAATAATAACACAGGGGGTGGGTGAGTTGGGGGGGGGGGGTACAGTCATCGATGTTGAACACACTTGAAATAATGAGAGAGTAAGGAATGAGTAAGGCTACCATGTGGCTCTTTGTCGTGAATTCTGCTCTGGCTCCCTAGCGTCACCGGCGCCATGCGCGTGCTGTACGTGACTGACGACTATGACGCTCATCACTCAGTGGCAATCACTGGTGTTAAATGTTGCACCAACATTGCATTATTTGATTGTAAGGATTTAGAAGGGACGGTGTGTGTGTGTGTGGTGGGGGGGGTCTCAGCCTCCTTGAGCCCCCACGGACGAACTCTGCAGGGCTGTAACTCCACCAACATTAGCTTCCAACTTGATGGCATTTATTTAAATGCGAAAATGTGCGGTCCAGTCTGTTGCTGCGTTGCATTTGCCGGACTGTCAAATCGCCCTGCACAGTCGCATCAGATCTCAGACGCTGAAGCGGGGTTTAAGCTCAGCAGGATTATGTTCGCGCTGATCGCCCTGCTTGGCTGCCCATCGTAAGTAAACCAAGTCGTTCTAGGCTGTTGAGAGCGGCAAAAGGCAGTGTAGCAAAATCCACCGTTGTACAGCACTCTTATCCTGCATTTATGCACCTGCCTTCACCAACCTGCATGCACGATCCTGAACCTGCCGCGATGCCCACAGGGTGCACCTCATCCAGCAGTGGATCGACATTAGGGCGGCCCTGTATATGTACACGTGCCAACAGATCACCCGGACTGCGCCCAATCGCGTCGGATCTCCTGCAGCCATGCGGGGCTGAGCCAGCTGCAGGCTCGGGCCGCTACGTGGCCAGAAGGTGGTGGTACAACGGTGGATTATTGAATCTGTGCGGAGTTTCGAGCGTTTACCCCTCCCCGACCCCCCTTGTGTATCCGATGGCCTTACACACGAAGCCAAAAACTCGTTAAAGTCATTAATTGCCCGAGTATCGTAACGCGTGATCCAGGTGGAACTTGAGTCTCGTGACTCGATGAAAGGCTGTCCTTGGAAAACAAAAATACCCATCATCAATATTATTAGTACGACTTCTGCAGGTTAAGCCATGACACCAGCACGTTGCCCCCAACTCCTCTTCACAATATCGCAGCACCCATGGTGTGTCTTCCCTCTGTGCTGCTCAAAGCAAACAGGGGGGGTATGCGGCACGCGTTATTGAATTCAAGGGGCGTTTGTCTGAGAAATATAAAAAGGCTTCACCTCCACCGAGCAGTACGGGCTGCAGGAGCTGACGTCCAAATTAAGTGCCTGGAATTGTTAGCACAAGTTCACGGCTGGCTGGGTGACACGCGAAAGCTTCTTCACACGCGCCTCGTGCGTTTTGCACGAAACGGCAGGGCTCACGAGCGAGGGTTCACGTGCGAGGGTTCACGAGCGAGGGTTCACGAGCGAGGGTTCACGTGCGAGGGTTCACGTGCGAGGGTTCACGAGCGAGGGTTCACGTGCGAGGGTTCGCGTGCGAGGGTTCACGTGCGAGGGTTCACGTGCGAGGGTTCACGTGCGAGGGTTCACGTGCGAGGGTCCCCCAACGGAGTGTCGCCGCGTACCTGCCGATGCCCTCCTCGCAAGTGATTTATA